ACTCGGACCCCTGTCCGCCCCTCCCCACCCCCCCATTTCCTGGCTGTTCCCAGGACACCTGTGCGCCCAAAGCAGGGTTAGACTAGGGGCGTCCGATGTGGTGGCTCTTCTGTTTCTCCTCCCTCCTCCCCCCTGCTCACCCGCTTCTGCCTGCAAACATCCCCCCCCGCACCCCAGTCCCTCTTGTGCCCCCAGCATTCCTGGCACCTTCGTGGAGGCTGCTCTACCAAGGTGAACCTCCAGGGGGAGACGGTTCTTCAGGGGACGGAGGCGGTGTTTTTGCTCCCACTGCCCGTCAGCAGCCGCGAGTGACCGCTGGGCCCGGGCCTCACCGCCACCTGCTGGCGACTCCGACTGCTCAGCACCGGCCTGGCTCCCTGGCTTCCAGTCCCCACGCCCCGCGCCCCCAGAGCCACACTCCTCTATTCACTCAAGACTTCCTGTGCATATGCAGCTGAAACCCAGCCCCTTTGCCAGCCTCCCCGTTCCTGCCCCTGAAGTACTGGCTCCTTTCTCTCTGTCACCCTCTCCCCGCGCCCGTCCATAGGCAGTCAGTCCACTGGTCTTCCTAAGTCTCCCACGGAGGGCCTTTGGTCCCTCCTCCTCACCACTACCGGGCCCCATGTTACCCGCCCCTCATCTCCACAGCCACAGCCTCCTCAGAGTCCTGGTCTCCAGGCCCACCCAGGGCACCGGCACCTCATTTACTTTCCGAATGCCAGCTGGATGCCTGCTCTCCTGCCCACACCTCCCTGCCCTTTGGTTACCTGAGTTCATGTTTCTCTGCAAGCTGACCTTGGCTGGCGTCCCCAGCCTTCACCGTCCCCCATGACAGGGCCCTGGGCTCCATCCTTCCCCACCTACCATTCCACAATAGGCAATGGCCATCTCACCAGCTCCCGCCGGCCCTGCCCCAGATCCCCCTGCACACCAGCCAGATGCTCTGGGCAGCTTGGGCCACCTGGAGCCCGCCCACCGCCCCTCGGTCTCCACGGGCGCTCCCTCATTGCCCGGGGTCAAACGCCCCAGCTGCTTGCACGCCTTCCACTCAGTGCAGTCCATGAGGATGGCCCACGCCACACTGTGGATCCGTCCCTAAGCCTCTCAGCGTCTCAGCTGGAAACCTGATGAGGCCCAAGCAGCTCCTAACACATGGGGAGCTGACAGCAGTGTTCCCACAAGTGCTCAATCAATAGCTGGCTTCCTGGCCTTCCCTCCAGGGTCAGTCTTTTCTTTCCAGTTCTTTCTGTTCGTTTCCTTTTCTGAGCAGTGTTTCAGGTCAGTGAACTTGAGTGGGAATGTGCAAGTAGGTAAGTAGTAGGGCAGGGAGGACGTGGGAAGCCAGGCATCGAAGAAGAGGCGGCATCACCTCATTGTTGAGGGTTTAAGGCTTAAGCTCTGGTCCCTGGGTTTAAATCCTGACTCCACCGATTGCTAGCTGTGTGACCTAGGGGAAGTCACTTGACCTCTCTGGGCCTTCATTGCCCCATCTAATAGAAGCATCTGAGTCATATCGCTTTGGTGAAGAATAAATGAGTTGACCTATGTAAAAGACACATCAGGCACATGGCATTATTATTACTATTACTACTACGGTTGCTATTGTTGTCTGATCTGGCATCCCTGAGCAGACGCCTGGTGTCAGGATTGCCCCACTCTCCTCCCAATTCATTCTTTCCTTCTCCGCTCACAGGACAACACTCCTGCCCAGGACACGAGGATGTAGAGAGGAAGCCCTGTGCTGGGCGGCGAAGGGGCTAGAGACGGCTCCTCCGAAGTAGCAGCCGCAAAGGTAGCAGCAATGAGATGTCAGCAGCGGACTGCGGGCATATGTCTTCAGTCCACCTGAAATCACGGGTCGTGCTTCCTGGCCCCCACCCCGGCCCGGCAGAGACTGGGGCTGAGGGCAGCAGATGTTATCAGCTTGCGTTTGTGTTCTTTGATGGACTTGGTTTAGAAAACAGAAACAAAACACTTATTTAAAACAACTTGCAAGAGTGACTACTCCCTGGGGATACTGGTCAACCCCTGGGTCCAGACACTGTCCACTCGCACCCACCCCTGCGCTGGCCTCGGGACGGACTGGCTGAGCTGATCGGATTGTGTGTAAAGTGCTAGCCTTTCACTGCCCGGAAGTTTTGACCTGCTCGAATGTGAGCAAACCCAATTCCAGGTGGCCGGAAACGGAAAAGAAAATAGTATTGCTGAAAATGTGAATCCTGCGACAAAAAGACCCTAAATTGTGTCCAGACCCCGAGACAGCCTTCCAGCAGGACCCAGATGTGAACTAGCCAATCAACTCTTAAAACACTGGACTAGGGTCCTAGCCTGTTTGGCTCAGTAGATAGAGGCCCCGGTTTCAATTCCAGCCAAAGGCACGTGTCCAGGTTCTCGGCCCTCAGTGGGGGGCATGCAAGAGGCAGCCAATCAACGACTCTCATCATTGATGTTTCTATCTCTCTCCCTCTCCCTTCCTCTCTGAAATCAATAATACATATATATTAAAACAAAACAAAAACAAAACACTGAACTAGGAGAGATAATCATAGAAACAAAAAATAATGCATCTGTGCCGGCAGCAGGAGCTTTTGTGGTTTCCTAGGTTCCAGGCTCAGTCACCCCTTCGGTCCGGAGGAGGAGGCGGCAGGGAGCAGATCCCGTGGACAGGCCTCCGGGGACAGGCCGATCCAGTAGGTCTCTGG